CATCTTTCTCAGAACCACAAGAAAGCAGGTTTCATAAAATAAAACATAAAGAGAAATTTTAAATATTTATGTATTGCATCTGCTCATTTAAAAAAAATACTGGCTTTAAAATATATATATTTGTACATGTTTTTCTGTGTATGAGACGTTTTCTGGAATGATGTTTGCCAAAATGTTACCACTGGTTATTTCTGATAGCTTCATGTCTAAACCACAGTAACATCAGCCAGGCATCAGGGATGCTGTAAAAATTGATGTGATTGCATTGAAGACGCATTTCCAGTTCTTAGAGGTAAACAAACACCCTATTTCTCAGAGGATTTATTTCAACAGTTTATTTATTCAATTCCATGAGGCCAATGGGTATACAAAAAGGTGCTCAACATTACTAATCACCAGGAAAATTCAAATCAAAACCATAATAAAATATCACCTCACACCTTTTATGATGGGTATCATCAAGAAGGCAAGAGTCTGGCTGGTGCGGCTTAGTGGTTGAGTGTCAGCCTATGGACCAGGAGGTCACCATTCAATTCCCCGTCAGGGCATATGCCCAAGTTGCAGGTTTGATCCCCAGTATTCTCTCTCATAATTGATGTTTCTGTCACTCTCTCCCTCTCCCTTCCTCTCTGAAATAAATAAAAATATATTTTAAAAAAACAAGGAAAGAAATAACAAGTATTGGCTTGGATATGGGGAAAGGGAATTCTTGTGCAACCTTGGTTGAAATGTAACATTTTTCTTTCCCAACAATTATACCAAAAAGTCAACGTACAGAGTATCTCAAAAATGTATACAATACATACCTTGAATGATTATAAAGTCAGTGTTTATTAACATAGAGTTCATTTTCAAAATTGAATGAGTTATCAGCTGTTAAAGTATGTATACATTTTGGGGGATATTCTATATATTACAGATGAGAAAATAGAAATGAGGGAAAAGATTAGAATATTAAATTTATGCATTATCCCATTACTTATAACCATTCTTTAGTATATAGCCTTTCAGAAGTTTTAATGCATGTAAATGTTTTATATTCCTTAAAATATATACTATGTATAGAGTCATTAACTGGCTTTTCCACTTAAGATTATAGACTAAGTCCTGGCCAGCATTGCTCAGTAGTTAGTGTCAGCCTGGGCACCAGAGGGTCTCTAATTGGTTCCGGTATAGGGCACATACCTGGATTGCAGGTCCGTTCCCTGAGTGTGAGGTAACCATTCGATGTGTCTCTGTCACATGGATATTTCTCTTTCCCTCCCTTCCTCACTCCCTCCCTCTCTTTCTCCCCCCCCTTCCCTTCTATTCTCTCTAAAAACCAATGGGGAAAAAATCCTCATTTCTCAGACGAGAATTAAAAGAAAAAAAGATTATACAGTGAATTTTTTCCACATACTGGTAAATGAGACTAAATGTTTATCAATGTTTCAAGAGCCGCACAATGTTTCGATGTGTAGACATATCCAAATTTGTTTAACCAAGTGCCTCTTTGGAGACACTTGGCTCATTCACAATTTTTCATACTTCACGCTTTTATACGAGCCAATTATTTGGTTATTTTCTAAGGATAAATTTCCTTTTATAATGACATTGGAAATAATACTTTATTCCAAACCTGTGATTCAGAGGATTGCATAAAGAAGTTACTCTGATCTAAAGGTCTCCACACAGTGGAACACACCTGGTGACTCCAGGTGACTGACAGGCCTCGGAGCAGCCAAACCTCAGGAGGCCTGCAGAGGACATAGACCAGGTCTACAACAGCACCTGCTGCAGTATCATCAAGGGGAAGATTCTGAAACATTTCTTCATTTTGGTAGGGCTGCTAGTGTGCTTGGTCAACCAGATAAAGTGGGTGAGATTCTTCAAATGTATTTTTCTGCATCTTTTCCTTTTGAGAGCAAAGATGTAATTCTAAGAATAAATATCAACCAGTGGAATTATTGGGTTAAAGAGCATGTACATCTTGAGGGTTTCTGAAACATGTGTTCAAGTGGACCTTGTACCAGTGTATGCTCCACCAGCACACTTTGAGGGTGCCCCTCCCCCCACACCCTACCACTCTCTAGGTTGGGAGAGAAGTAGATAATCTTCAATATGAATGCTAACAGCTCTCTGGATGGTTCCATAAAGGCCCTGCCTCAACCAACCTTACAAAAGAAATCTGATAAAAGCACTAAAAATTATTATTTCTTCTATTACAGTTTCTTGTTTCAAAATAGTAACTAATCCTTGCTCAGTGCTTAGAGTGCCTGCCCTTGTACCAAAAGGTCTCGATTCCCTGCCAAGGGCTTGTACCTAGGTTGCAGGTTCCATCCCTGGCCCGTCAGGGAGGCACTGGATTGATGTGTCTCTCTTACATCAATACTCCTTTCTCTCCTACCTTCCAAAAAAGAAAAAGAGGGGCAAAATAGTAATTAATATATTCACTTACACACACACACACACACACACACACACACACACACACAGAATTGGTCAAGAAAGGGTGTGTTTTCATAGCAAATGCCTCAAGACCTCTAAAATGAAATTGTCCCTCACTGTAGTCCTCAGAATAGGTCCCAGCACTTCTTCATTCAAAGAGTCTCTCACTTGCTGCCTCTCATCATTCCCATGACCAGCAGTGACATTTCAGACTTTTATCATCTTGTACTTGGACTATGGTGGGAACTTCCTAACTGGTGTTCCAATCTTCAGTGGCCACTCTTGTGCCCTCCCCAACTCAGACCCATCCGGTTCCAAAACAGCCACATTATTTTCCTTTCGCCCTGTCATTCCCAGGGTCATGAAAAGCTTTCGTGTCATCCAGGATTGGATGGAGTAATCTGCAGACACTTCAGTGAAGCCATCAGGGACCTTCCACGAATGCGACTCGCTCCAACTGCTCAACTATATTTCTCACCCCTCCCTTTTCCACACTTTGTACTCAGGCCAGCCTCCTCTCTGGAGCAGGATTCCCACCTCCATGCATTTCTTCCCACCATTCCTTCCTCCTCCAACACCCTTCTGTCCTGTTTTTATCCTATCCTTCAAGCCCAGCTTACTTAAGCATCCTCTCTTCTGTAAAACTTCCTGCGCTCCATTACCTGCAAAACTTTCTGTCACGTCTAAGCACTAATAGGAAGCAGCTGGCCATGATGAATGGCTCAAAAAGTTTTGTTAATAACTTTTTGTTTCCATTCATCTTGCCTTCTCAAACACACAATAAACTTAAGAACACGATAAATTTTTTTTGTTGGCTAAAACACATAACTTTATTGATAAAACACAAGTCTAAAGATTAACAAATATAAACCAATACAAAAGTGTAGGTTATTTATGATTAGTTTACTGTCAGTTTAGGTAAAGAGTAAAAATATCTCAATCTAGGTAGCAAGATGGAATCCACTAAGTGCTTTGTTTTTACAAGCTTTAGTATTCATTTGGCATCCTTAAAATGGTCCAGTCTAAAACCAACCATCACAGCCAGCATTACTATTGATCTGTGATATTCATTATTCCAAAATAGCAGCTGAAAGTATCTCTATGCCATATAATCACAGTGAAAAACAAAGAATTTACAAAATGTATTTTTCCCAAGTGCAAACTTAAAAAACATATCTCTATTATTTGAGACAGACCCCTGATTAGAGTTTGGTCAGTACTTTGAGAACTTTTACTTTCACCACCAGATCACTGTGATTTGCTAATGCTTTAATTTTTTTAGCACACACCCCAGATTCTTTAAATAAGAAAAAAAGTGAACTTCTGCTAAACTCTTTCCTGGATAATGCAAGCCCTTCATTTTTTATGTTATCATTTATATTCTCAAATAGGGTTAGGATATTAAGAAGAATCTCTCTGTCCCATTCTTTATTAAAGAGGAAAATCAATTCTGATGGTACTTTACAACTGACCAGCTCTCTTGTCATGGCTGGATTTTCAGTAAAGTTTATAAGTAGTTTCATAATCTGAATCTTGGTGAAGTAATTTCCCAGGAATAACAAAGCAAAAAAGTCTGGAAAAGAATAGGAAAGCAAATGTTGGTAATGATTAGTCACTGTCATGTTGGTTAACAGTCTTAGTCCAGCCATCTGCACAGCTGAGTCCAAACAACAAATCATGGTGTCATCACACACTTGACTGATATATGCCTTAATCTTGCCCTGATTTTCAGCATTCACACTCAAGTTATTAAGAGCATTGTAAGCCTTTTCTCTAATAATGGGATCTTTCGTTTTTATCAGTTTTGCAATAATTGGGAGACCACCCAATTCACGAATGGCATTTTGATTAAATGAATATGCTGCATTGTTACCGAGAGTGACCAAGGCTACTTCTTGAATAAAAGGATCATTTGTTCTTTCCAGGATGTCAAGGACTTTTTGAAGGTCTGTAGCACCTAAAATATCATCAATTTTATAGGGAAAGTTGAACTTGCCCCTGTGAACAGGCCATGTGGTAGCTGGAGTTCTGGTGCTCTTAGCTTCGACCTTTCCCTTGGACTTTCCACTTGCCCTGCTCCTAGCCCTAGCTCCACTCCTGGTGGGGTGGCAGCCTCCACCCCTGCCTCCTGGGCAGGGTAAACTCGATGCAAGAGTCCTGCTCCCAGAGATGGTACCCAACCTGGCCCCTTTGCCTGCCTTTGCACTTGCCTGTTCCTTCAGTGTGCTGAAAAGGGCCTTGGCCTTGGCCTCTAGGCCACTTCCTCTCTGGGTTCCTGAGTGGGCTTCCATTTTTATATCTGGACCACTCTTGAATTCCTTGCCCACTTTAACTTTGACCTTTGAGTCACCCTGAAATCTAGCTCTGCCCCCCACTGCAGTATTAGCTCCTTTCCCAGCCTCCACCCCAATTTCTGTAATATCACTAGATTCCCCATCTTCGTCATCATCATTGTAGTCCCAGATTTTCTCGTTGTCATCTCTTCCCCAGGTCAGTCTGTATACACAATAGCAGGCACCAGCCCCGATCACCACACCAGCAGCCACACAGCCAGCCTCCCGAGTTCGACCCATACTGGGGCTAATGTCTGGGCCAAATTTTTAACCTAGGCAGAGCAGGCTTGCTGTGGCTCAGAATTATCTGAAGCCTGGATGGAATCTTTAGCTACAGTTGTCAGGTTCTTCAGCAACTGCAGATACCACAGCACCTAGGAAAGAAGGAAAGACTTGAGGCTTCAATCTCCTCCTTTTGCGTCTTTGCATGCAGACAGACTAAATTGGGGGCAGACAAAGGAACGGGGACATAACAGGGACTTAGGACTAGATCGCTGATCCCTTTCCTACACAGGGAAGTTAATTTTGAAAAATTTCCCCACCTCCAGATTCTCCAACCTCATGGTCAATTTACCTTACCCCAGTTCACTTAATTTAAGGTATTTAATCAGTTCCCTACCTCTTCTGCCCTTCCAGATGTCCTGGGGAGTAGTGGCACTTCCACATATAGCCACACAGGTTCAGTTTCTTCCTTTTCCTTCTTGCCTGTAAGTGCACTGTATTCTGCAAATATACATACATGGGGAGAGGGATGGGGAGAGGATTGCTGAGAGCTTATGGTACAGATGACTTCACCCAGGTCATAGGTACCTCTCTGGAATCCCTGGCCCTAGTCGGAGTAGACCAGTATTTCCCACCTAGTTATGCCCCTCTCCTCACAGTCCTTTGAAATTAATTAGCTCACCTCCTCGCCTCCTCTGATCTCTGATCTCCTCCAATCCTCTACCCCACCCCCACCCTCACCCCCACCCCCACTTCCTCCAAAGATGATACCACACATTCCCTTCCCTAACAAAATCAATGGGGGTGGACTGAGAACGTCTAGAAGCCAGACAGGGGTAAAATGAACAAAAGTCTGGAATTTCACCCTTGCCTCCGCCACCCCCATCATCTTAAAGGTACCAAGACACTCCTACTCAACCCATTATACCAACTTCCACTGTTCCAGAGGAATTTACTTCATCCCTCAACTCAGTTTCTGCCTCCACCAAACCTAAGGATGGACAACTCTGGGACTGAGTGCGTGATGGGCAGACCAATACCAATTACTTTTTGTACTCCAAAAAGTAATTTGGAAAGAAGGTCTTCCCTACCCCCACCCCAGAATTCTTGTGACACCCTCCCTGCTTCCAGCCACTTCTTTCCCAGTTTTATAACAGCAGAGAACTTTCTTTTGTAAGCTCCGAAATGGTATAAAGAGGAGGAAAGGAGGGGGATGTAGAGGAGGCCCACTGGAGTTTGTAGTCTCCACCCCAGGGGCCCTCAAACAACTCCAGCATCCTCCCTCTGACCTACTTGTTTCTGGACAATATTCCTCTTCTTCCTGCTCTTGGGTCGGATTGGCCTTCAGGTGACTTGGCAGAGAAGGAAGGCTAGCGGACAGAACAGCACTTCAGAAAGTCCCAGTGCGAATTCAAGGTCCTGGTAGTCAAACAGTAATTGTTTTTGTTCTCATCCTACCCCCCCTTCTCAGGACCCCTCGGACATCCTGCATGACGTCCATCCAAGCCCTGCCCCAGCCCACCGCTCTACCCCCAGCGGATGGCCATTTTCAAAAAAACAAAACAAAACAAAACAAAACAAAACAAAAACCACACCCCTTTGAAACCACTGGAAGGAGGGGGAGGAGGAAATATGGAAAGCGGGCGGAAAGACCATTCCCCTCCCTGACGCATTTCCACCCCTCCCCCCTGAAGGCCCCAATTTTTACGATAGGCTGTCACATCCTTTCTCTCTCTCTCTCTCTCTCTCTCTCTCTCTCTCTCTCTCTCTCTCTCTCTCTCTCTCTCTCTCTATATATATATATATATATATATATATATATATATATATATATATATATATAAAATAGCAGGAAGATAGCTGGAGAGTCACTAATGGGCCCTAGATAAGGGAGGACCTCAGCCATCCCCGCTCTTCTAGTGGGCGCCGGGGCAATCCCCTTTACACTGACATGCAGGAATTCCGGGCAGGTTCTTTGTTCCTTTGCTCCCAGTGGTACAGCGCCCTGCTGAAAGACACGCGAAAAGACAAATGGTCAGACAAACCCACAGCCCCAAGTCCTAGGTTGGTAGAAGGCCCGGAATTCTAATACACTGCCCTTCCCGATTCAAGGCCCTGGATGTTCTCTGGGACTGAGTGCGTGATGGGCAGATCCCTCCTGCGCTGGGGTCTCATTTTCGTTCTTGGAAGGGCAGGGTGTTAGAAAGCACACAGGTCCCCTTCCGGTGGAATCCACCCTCCTCAACCCGCACCGCAGGGATCCCCCGGGCAGCGACCATCCGCATAGACCTGCAGGGATCTAGTCAGTTACCTCCTCCTCCTTCCCTAGCCACAGGCCCGCCCGCAGGATGGGGAATAGGCAGATGGTAAGCGACCAAACAAAGACGAAGATTAGAAGGATGTCTAAACGCGTAAGCTTCTGCTCACGTGAGGGCCACGTCATCTGTGAGCTCAAGACCCCTATTACCACTCCCACCAGCAGGCAGTGCTGTCTGGCCCACCCCTTTCCTTCCCTGACCGTATCAGGTCCTGCCACTCAATTTTCCTCTGCCAATCCTAGAAACCGGGAATAGCTTCTCCTTGTGGTTGGAATTTGCCTTTCTTTAATTTACAGGAAGAGACTGCATCTGTTCCCAAATTCATGGATCTTTTCTTCCTCTTTGAGGAATGATTTTCCCCCTTATCCCTGTCCAACCATCTCTCCATTCATCACCCACCCTCAGCCATGAGGATCCAGCTTTTCTCCTGCACCCCTACAAAAGGGAGGAAAGATCTCTGAAAAGGATATAAGTAATGGGAGTGTTTTACTTCCTTAAACTTTTCTGTTCATTTTTAAAAAATCAATACTGTTACTTTTATATTGAAAAAATAAAATGATGCTATTTTCATTTGAGTGAAAAATAATTTAAGTGGGAGGCCAAAAGGTCTCATTAATTTCATTACATTTATTTATAACACAAGGAAACTGTTTCTATCAGTTATAGCCAAATAGGAATTTTCAAAACATATTAACCTGTTTTAAAATTTATAATGGGAATTTTCACATGATTTATTAATTAGTCCACAAGGAGAGGACTAATCCTCTGATTCTTCCCATTTTATGCAAATGATTTATTACTTTTTCTATTTTTGGATCAACTTGCAAATTGATAAAGCAAAGGCAGCACAATCCTGTCTTGTTTGATTTAAAAAAGACATGCATTTAGTGTCCCAGAGTCTTGGTTGACTGCTGTGTGAACCACTTATGATTTGATGGCTGTTCACAACACCTGCCCCTGGATTGGATTCAAGTCTACTAAGGTGGATGCAGGTGAGAGTGTAAGGGATGCAGAACTGGTCCCTTCCTTCCTGCCTTGTCAAGAGGTAAGGGATAAAGGTGTTGTCCTCTGCTCTTCTCCCATATTCCATAGCTTCTCATCCCCTGCAAATGACTCTGTTGCTCAGTCTAAAGGTATACATGGACAGGTGACCAGGGTGGTAAATGCCACCTTTACTCAGATGACTAATCTGACCTGAGTAAATGTATTTGCTTTCTTCCCTCCCTTCAGTTCCCACAGAGGTAACTCAGGGATGCATAGGAGGGATTGTTGGTCACATCCCCCTGCAGCTGTGGGTTTCCATAAAACCTAGAGAAGTGATTTCTGGGGGAAGCATACAAGTCTGCCTGCTGTGGCCTCATTCACAACACCCAAGTCTGCTCATGCCCCCTGGCCTGAGAGGTTTAGCCTGCTGGGCCTCTGCCATATAGGCTCCTCACTTCAGGGTCCTCAGAAAGAACCTAGCCTTGATGTAGGGTCATGTGCTGCAGTCCACCCCCAACTTGGTGCCCCCTCAACTAATGGACTCACCTCCTTACCATACTGATAAACCTAGAATAGGCATTCTCAACTGGCTAACTTTGAAAATTTTATCAAAATTATGCATGTTCATTTTAGTGGGGAGAAGGTTTGTAGGTCTCATCAGATTCTCATAGACATTTGTGACTAAAAAAATAATTCAGAACAACTTTACTAGGGGGAAAAAGGTAAGTTCCCTCAATAAAAATCTCTCAAATCTCTGTGTGTGTGTGTGTGTGTGTGTGTGTGTGTGTGTGTGTGTCCCTCTCATCTCCCCACACTCCATATTTTTTAAAAATGTGAACATTGCAGAAAAGTATAAAGTAGAATGTGGAAGTGTGTCAAGTTCCAAGTTGAACAACACTGCAGAACAGAATGGTTGCAGCTAGTGACTAAAGTACAATGAATATGCACTTTAACTTGAGAAGTGACATCTTTAAAAATTGAGTCTTTCTATTCATGTTGTCATTATGATCTTCAATAAATTTTATGTTTATTCAGGGAAGTCATACTTATTGTTAAGCTTATTCCCAGGTATGTTATTGTTTTGTTGCTTTGGGGGATGACATTTCTTTTATGATTATATTTTCTACCAGGTTATTGATTGTCTTGGTAAAAATATTTATATGTTTATTTTTAGTGACCTTTCTTAATTTTTCTAATAATTTTTCAGTTTATGACTTTGGTTTATGTAGGTATGCATAGAGAATCATCTACAAATGATGATTTTTAATTTTTTCAGTATTTATATATTTTATTCTTTCATTTTCTGGATGTAGCACATTGACCAGAACCTCTACAACTATGTTGAATAATAATGGCAATTAAGAGCCTCCTAATTTTATTCTTGAAGTAAATAGAAACACCCTTAATATCTCACCAGTGAGTGTGACATTTGCTATTGGATTCTGATTTATCCATCTGTGTTTGTTTGATTTATGGCGGATGTCTAAAAGCTGCACTTTTATAACCTTTACATAATACTGAGCAAAATTCAAATGTCCACCTAATAACATTAGGAGAAAGAAGGGATGAAGAAGAGTTGCTATAAGTGCTATGCTTATTGTGAATATGTTGATGAAAAAAAGCAGACACTGACTTTGCTCTCATAGTGGAAACAAGACCTTCATAAAATAATCACATATACATACAAACCAAAAAATACTGTGAAGGAACACTGTT